GTGTGTGTGTGTGTGTGTGTGTGTGTGTGTGTGTGTGTGTGTGTGTGTATATATGATACCTTTCAAATGGCGTGTATACGCGACCTGGGAAAACGTTTATCATTTGCGAAAGCCGCATATACACAATGTAATAATAATGTAATAATAATATAATAACAACTATAGTCGTAGCCACTGACACGCGGATATTATGTAGTTTTTCATTGAAGTACATTATTGAAGTATATTGAAATATATTACAACCAAAAGATTAAATATATATTACAACCAAAAGATTAAAGAAGAGCAAAGACTTCTAAGTAAAGTTTAAATTTAAGCTAACGTAAAGGTATAAGGACCTTCTCTACAATATAGAGTAAACACAAAATAATATAGATGAGATATACATAAAATTTTATATTTATTAAAATTATATCGATTAACACATACCGGTAAAACGACGAAGATCACTATTAATTTTCCTAACGCCATTGTCACGCAGTCGTATTTCTTCATTCAGACACAAAGTAAGACACGGCGTAGAGCGAAGCTAACGAAATAAACTTGACGGCACGGTTGAGTTGAAGGAACGAATCGAGAAAACAAGAAAAATCTTTCAAAGAGTCGATACGAATAAGAAGCAAACGGTGGTTGTTGCTAAACTTGAGAATCGTAAGCCGACTGTCCGTATTTATGTGTCTCTCTTTTTCTCTCTCTCCATTGGTTAAACTGATTCGGATACATGACGACTTCCCATTACGTACGTAGATGTGGCTTCTCTCTTATCGGCCGCATATTATCTGCTTCCGAGACTTTATCTTAGATCTTTAGACTGTCGATCGCGTCAGAAAACGTTAATTTTGTACTTTTCTGCGGCAAGGATAGATCAGCTACTTGACGGAGGAAAAAAATTCAATCAAATCTTCCGGAGGCGCGTTGCATTCCTCAAGGTTGTATCCTCTGCCTAATAAGCTAAATGTAAGCAGTATGTTAGCAGATTAGCAGTAAATTCCCAGAACAAAATCAAAGCCAGAACAAATCAGAATCCTAGAACAAAACTAAGCCGTCTGTGTCCGTATTAAGTTCGTGTTCTGGCGTGTCCTTTAAGGGACGTCTACATTGGAAGTAAACAGTAAGAAGTAGGAAGTAAGAATAAGAAATTGACCAATCATAGTTAATTATTCTTCTCACATTCGACTGTGGTTGGTCAATTTCTAACTCTTACTTCCTACTTCTTGCTATTTACTTCCAATATAGACGTTCCTTTAGACGTCTCTTGCTACCTGAGATGTTTTGACAACAGATTGGTGGCCGAAACCGAGCACGTCCTGCTGTTAAATTATATGCAGCAGGGTATGCTTGGTTTCTGCCGTCGAACTATTAGCATAGCATATCAGTAAGCTTTATCAGATTTTTGGCGGCAATTTCACAATATTGTCAGATAGAATAGATTCTGCGTGAGATTTATAGCCTTTCTCTAACAAACACAGACATAACTGCTATAACCTGACGAAAATAAGAAGTTTCATAAAGTTTGTTTAGCGTTTACGTAAGCATTTGCAGGAGTTCGTTGAGAGTTTAAAAATTGTAAATAGAGCGAAAATTGCACACTGTAGTGTTTGAAAGACGTTTACGTATTGGAAGAGCGTTTGCTGAACGGAGAGAAAATGCTTGTCTTATGGTGTTGTAGGAAAAGTGTTTTCTAAACGTTTTAAAAGTCTGACAGCAAACTCTCTGCACAAAGGTTAGATCAGCGTTTATTGAGCGTATTTTGAAAAGCGTTGCTTCGGCATTGCAGAATTTTCACGAAATGTTATAAATAGCATTTGATAAGTTTTGAAAGTGTTCAAAATCCAACAGCGTTGAGTTCATACAAAATTTGAAAACGTATAAACTCTCAGAAAATTTTCATTGAACAGTTTATAAAAAGTTTTATTTTTGCCAGGGTATAACACCTATACAGCATAAGATCTGGAGACGTCTCAGAGATATCCTGAAGACGTAGAAACGTCCCCAGGATGTTCTCAGGACGTATTCTGGACGTCTCCTGTACATCTGTTCTGTTAAAGCATAGACGTAACATAGACGTATGTTACGTCTATGTTATATAGCAGTTATCTATGTTATATAGCAGTTTTCTGTGTTTGCTGGGTCTAGCATCCAAAATTTACAGCAGATCCTGTTCAGAATTTATTTACGTAAGTTTGGTTATCTGTCGGAATATCGTAAATAAAAAAAAGAGACTCGCGATAATTTATTTTGCAAAGTCGTGCGAGTCCCCAATCTTTGAGATTAGAAATTAACTATACAATGCACGAGTTTTCTTCTCTTTATTGTTTATACTCTCGGATAGCACAGAAACTTCCAGAATCATCCCGAACGTGTAAAGGATTTTTTTGAAAAAAAGATCTACAATGCAATCGCAGTAATATTTTAAAATCGCAGCTGATTAGTCTGTGAGCCGATCATGCATTTATTTCCTTTGTGTAAATTCGTGATTGAATGAAAAGTTTTACTGAATTGATCAATCTTGTTTGCGACTTCTCCAGTTTTTGATATTTAATTAACCATTATTTCATTATCTTCCTTTCAAAAGCGCGATTAAAGTTTGTTGCCACTTGTTGCTATAAGAAAAATAAAAAAACAACAGATTAATCACCGATAAGAAATACAGAAGCGGATTGCATTGTAAGAGTATCGTGTAAGAGTATTTCTAAGATTGCACGTTTATTTTCAACGAATGAATTCCCGGTAGTGGTTATCTAACTTTTACGTAGGTCATTGCAAAAATCTAAGTATACTTAACGCGCGCGTCGAATCTGTCTAACATCGTCAGCGAATGCGGTCAGGATTATACCGCTGACAGGAAACCTGATGTCATATCCTCGCGTGATACATTGCACCAATTTGACCGTTAACTTACTTAGGATTTCCTCGCGGAAATCTACATACATATCTTGTTGCGAAAATCGTCATCTGTAATGGATAAATCACGGCTTTATTCGTGTTTAACCGACATTATACAATTTTCTCGAGCTACATACGCACTTCGTTGCAACGCTTGTCATCTGTGGAGGATAAACGCAAAAGCTAAAAGAACTTCACGAAAGCAAATATTACGCAAGGATCTTACCAGGAATTCACTTCAATCTCCATGAGTCCCGGAAGAAGTCTATACGAATTCTCAAATCGGTCGATATGTTAAATGACGAATTGTGAAATGGACACAATATAACCTTACATTCATATTATAAAGGAATATACGCTTACTCTGATTAGTCTTGTTAGTCGAATTCAAATTTTTGAATGTCAATCATTTATTTCCATGCCCTGTTCAGGTCGAAACTTCCTCGTTAGACTTAACGCCAACCAATAGCAGGTTTCTGACATTTTCTATTTTGTCCTCTATGAGATCTTCATGGAGAAGGAAACAGCAGAACCGAACAGATTTAGAGCCAGACTATTCCAAATTACTCTGAATTACTCTAATTAGCTCTATCTCTGTTCCTTTACTGTTTCGTTGCGTCATTTTTTTCTCCATAGGGACGTAGTCTTAAGCCTTGTTACACTACAGATTGAAGATTACAGATTGAGGATTATATTTCGATAAATGCTTTGTTTCAATCATGAAATAAGAGAGAAGGAAGTCGAACTCCGTGAAACAAAAGTGGTCCTGATTCGTGTTCCCTAATTGAGAGGGAATACGCTGAAAGGAATAACTTCTTATAGTTAAGCGCCATTTGTAAAGCAGTAAGTTAAAGCGAGATAAAATATACTTGTTTCATTCTTATTCAGTAGTGCAGCTCTTTAGTTAAAGAGCTACTACTGAATAAGAATGAGACAAGTATTTTATCTCGTGAGTATTTTATCAATCGACAAGTATTTTATCTTGTTTTAACTTATTGCTTTACAAATGGCGCTTAACCATAAGAAGTTATTCCTTTCAGCGGATTCCCTCTCAATTAGGGCACACGAATCAAGACCACTTTCTCTATTCGCGCCCTATCAAGTTCGATTTCCCTATCTCTTACTTCATGATTTTATTTAGAGAAAGAAATAAGAACTACGAACAAACGAAGATATCAATCAAAAAATAGGAAAAGGGCAATTCGAGTTCAAGCACAGGACTAATAGTGCTATATACCATATGGGTAAAAAACCCATAATTAATTCCTATTAAAATTCAGGGTCTTTTGCAATTGGGTAACGGTTTCAATTTACCACCTTCTAATGGGAAGTCCATCCTTATTGAATTCATTAAACAAATCGAGTCGAATATTTGTAAACTCAAGAGGGAAGAAAAGAAGATCGTTAGAAGCCGAGTGGTACCTACCCTTATAGAAATATCATACTAAGAATCATTGATAATTACTTATTATCCAGTATTTTTAATACTGAAAATAAGTAATTATCAATGATTCTTAGTATGATATTTCTATAAAGGTGTCTTGCGTAGAATTCACCCAGCAAACACAGATATATAACAGTTACATTGCCGTAATGAAACGGAATGTAACATGCAATATAACATGTATGTAGTAGGTTATACAGGGCCGTGCAGGTAAATCCGGAAAAAGTTTAGATAGGTATAGTGAAGTGATGTGTTATTGGATTTTTGTGTTCTAGGTTTCTAATTAAAGCTTAAGAAGCGTACTTTGACAGTGAAACAACGTATAAAGTGAAAGTGGAAAGATGAGCAAAGAACAGGACAGGAGAGGTGCGATCCTGGAATCACTGCGCGCCGGGAAGACCGCCAAGGAGATTGTGGATTGGTTTGGCTACTCAAAAACGCAAGTTTACGAGATAGCCAAAACCTATCGCCCTTTCCACGCTGGTGCGATGCGCCATCTGCATTCATTTTTCAGGTAGAACTACGTTCCTTATGCCCATTTTCAGACGATGCCGGTAAAGCAGCGATTCAGTGCGTGTCTACTCTACGCCCATTTCCTGGCGATTCGTGTCCGTGCTAAGCGCATAATTGCGTGGTTAAGAACATGGACCATTGCGTACGAACTTATATTCCATTCAACATGCACATGATCTTTTCTCTTTACGCACTGTCATAAATTTATTTACGTGTATATGCGTACGAAATATCATATGTACGTATATATGCGAGAACCTGACCGCGAAAAGCACACCCACTTCTATGCTCTACATAACGCAACGATATTAATCGCATTATTATAAAACATTAATTCCAGTAACATAAATTGTGGAAAAATTAGTGCTCTTTAAATAACATCAATATCTTTCGTGGTTGCCGAGAAATAAGAAATAAATGCTAGCGACATGTAAAAGCTTGATCGCAACATCGAAACATTCGCGCATTTCTATACTTTACCTAAAGTAGTGGTATTCATCGTAATATTATAAACAACTAATTCCAATAGAGTAAAGTGTGGAGAAGACAGTGCTTTTTGAACGAAATCGATATCTTTTGTAGTTGCCGAAATTAAGCAATAAATGCTAGCGGCATGTAAAAACCTGAGTCCCGGTTAAGCGGCTTATATGCCGCCAGTATTTTTTGCTGTCTTTCGGCAACTACAAAAGGTATCGATTTCGTTCAAAAAGTACAGACTTCTCCACACTTTACTGTATTGGAATTAATGGTTTATAATATTACGAAAGCATCATTGCTTTAGATAAAGCGTGGAAGCGCGCGTACGTCTCGACGTCGCGGTCGAGTGCTTATATGCCGCCAGTATTTTTTGCTCTCTTTCGGCAACTACAAAAGGTATCGATTTCGTTCAAAAAGTACAGACTTCTCCACACTTTACTGTATTGGAATTAATGGTTTATAATATTACGAAAGCATCATTGCTTTAGATAAAGCGTGGAAGCGCGCGTACGTCTCGACGTCGCGGTCGAGTGCTTATATGCCGCCAGTATTTTTTGCTCTCTTTCGGCAACTACAAAAGGTATCGATTTCGTTCAAAAAGTACAGACTTCTCCACACTTTACTGTATTGGAATTAATGGTTTATAATATTACGAAAGCATCATTGCTTTAGATAAAGCGTGGAAGCGCGCGTACGTCTCGACGTCGCGGTCGAGTGCTTATATGCCGCCAGTATTTTTTGCTCTCTTTCGGCAACTACAAAAGGTATCGATTTCGTTCAAAAAGTACAGACTTCTCCACACTTTACTGTATTGGAATTAATGGTTTATAATATTACGAAAGCATCATTGCTTTAGATAAAGCGTGGAAGCGCGCGTACGTCTCGACGTCGCGGTCGAGTGCTTATATGCCGCCAGCATTTTTTGCTTTCTTTCAGCAACTACAATAGATATTGATTTCGTTTAAAAAGCAATTATTTCTTCTCACTTTACTCTATTGGAATTAGTGGTCTATAATATTACGAAAGCATCATTGCTTTAGATAAAGCGTGGAAGCGCGCGTACGTCTCGACGTCGCGGTCGAGTGCTTATATGCCGCCAGCATTTTTTGCTTTCTTTCAGCAACTACAATAGATATTGATTTCGTTTAAAAAGCAATTATTTCTTCTCACTTTACTCTATTGGAATTAGTGGTCTATAATATTACGAAAAATACCACTGTTTTAGGTAAAGCGAGGGGGCGCGCTTACGTCTCGACGTGGCGGTCAAGTGCTTCTTTGCCGCCAGCATTTTTTCCTCATATCGCGCTTACACGCTTTACTTAACACTTCAGTACTAATTGTACTATTATAAATATTTGATTATAGTAGAATAAACTGAAAAATTTAGTGCTTTGTGAACGAAATTTATATCTTTTGTAGTTGCTGAAATTAAGCAATAAATGCTAGCGCATGTAAGAGGATGACCGCGACGTACATCGAGACGTACGCGCGTTCCCACGCTTTACTTAAAGCAATGGTATTATTCGTAAAATTATAAACTACTAATCCCAATACATTAAAATGAGGAGAAGTCAGTGATTTTCGAACGAAATCGATATCTTTTAGTAGTTGCCGAAAAAAAGCAAAAATGCTGGACATAAGCACTAGATCGCGACGTCGAGACATACGTCGCGCTGAGTTTCCTAAACATGCCGCTAGCATTTATTGCTTAATTTCGGCAATTATAAAAGATATCGATTTTATTGAAAAAGCAAACACTTTTCCTCACATTACTCTATTGGAATTATTGGTTTGTATATTACGAAAAATAACACTGTTTTAGGTAAAGCGTAGAAGCGCGCGTACGCCTTTATTTCGCGGTCAAGTGCTTGTATGCTGCCAATATTTTTTGCTTTCTTTCGGCAACTACATAAGATATCGATTTCGTTCAAAAAGCATTGATTTCTCTTCATTTTAATGTATTCGAATTAGTGTGTATAATAGTTATATTATAATATTATATATAATAATATTACGAATAATACTATTGCTTTTTAAGTAAAGCGTGGAAATGCGTTTACGTCTTGATGTATGTACGTCGCAGTCATCCTTTTGTATGTCGCTAGCATTTATTCTTTAATTTCGGCAACTACAAAAGATATCGATTTCGTTCAAGAAGCACTGATTTCTCCACACTCCACACTTCATTCTATTGGAATTAGTGGCTTATAATATTACGAATAATACCACTGCCTTAGGTAAAGTGTGGAAGCAAAGTCGATATCTTTTGTAGTTGCCGAAAGAAAGAAAAAAATGATGGCAGCATATTAGCATTTGATCGGGTCGTGGAGACGTACGCGCGCTTCTAAGCTATACCTAAAGCAGTGCTATTTTTCGAAATATTATAAACCACTAATTCCAATAGAGTGAAGTGTGGAGAAGTTAGTGTTTTTTGAACGAAATCAATATATTTTGTAGTTGCCGGAAGAAAGCAAAAAATGCTAGCGGCATATAAGAGGATGATCGCGACATATATCGAGATGTACGCGCGTTTCAACTTTTACCTAAAGCAATGGTATTATTCGTAATATTATAAACCACTTTTTCAAATATAGTAAAATGAGGAAAAGTCAGTGCTTTTTGAACGAAACCGATATTTCATACAGTTGCCGAAAGAAAGCAAATAATATTGGTGGCGTACAAGCACTTGACCGCGACGTCGGACATACGTGCGCTTCCACGCTTCACTTGAAGCAGTGATATTATTCGTAATATGATAAATCACTAATTGCACTAGAGTAAAGTCAGGAAAAGTCAGTTTTTTTTTAACGAAATCGATATCGTTTGTAGTTGCCGAAAGAAAGCACAGCGTACTGGCGGCATATAAGCACTTGACCGCGAGGTCGAGAAGTACGCGTGCTTCCACGCTTTATCTAAAGCAGTGATGCTTTCGTAATATTATAAACCATTAATTCCAATACAGTAAAGTGTGGAGAAGACAGTGCTTTTTGAACGAAATCGATATCTTTTGTAGTTGCTGAAATTAAGCAATAAATGCTAGCGGCATGTAAAAGCCTAAGCACGAAGTCGCGGCCAAGTGCTTATATCCCGCCAGTATTTTCAGCTTTTTTTCGGCAGCTACAAAAAATATCGATTTCGTTAAAAAAGCACTGAATTTTCCTCACATCACTCTATTGGTATTAGTGGTTTGTAATATTACGTAATAATATCACTGCTCTTTAGGTAAAGCGTAGGAGCGCGCGTACGTCTGGACGTTGCGGTCGAGTGCTTATATGCCGCCAGTATTTTTTGCTGTCCTTCGGCAACTACAAAAGATATCGATTTTGTTCAAAAAGTACAGACTTCTCCACACTTTACTGCATTGGAATTAATTTATAGTATTACGAAAGCATCACTGTTTTAGATAAAGCGAGGAAGCGCGCTTACGTCTGGACGTCGCGGTCAAGTTCTTGTATGCCACCAATATTTTTTGCTTTTTTTCGGCAACTACATGAGATATCGGTTTCGTTCGAATAGCACTGACTTCTCTATACTTCACTCTATTGGAATTAGTGGTTTATAATATTTCGCAAAATACCACTGCTTTAGGTAAAGTAGTGGGAGCGCGCTTACGTCTCGATGTGGTGGTCAAGTGCTTCTTTGCCGCCAGCATTTTTTCCTCATATCGCGCTTGCACGCTCTACTTAACACTCCAGTACTAATTGTACTATTATAAATATTTTATTACAGTAGAATAAACTGAAAAATTTAGTGCTTTATGAACGAAATCTATATCTTTTGTAATTGCCGAAATCAAGCAATAAATGCTAGCGACATGCAAGAGGATGACTGCGATGTACATCAAGACGTAAACACATTTCCACGCTTTACCTAAAGTAATACCTATAGTAATACCTATAGTATTATTCGTAATATTATAAACCACTAATTCGAATACACTAAAATGAGGAGAAGTCAGTGATTTTTGGACGAAACCAATATCTTATGTAGTTGCCGAAAGAAAGCAAAAAATATTGGCGGCATACAAGCACTTGACCGTGACGTAGAGACGTACGCGCGCTTCCACGCTTTACCTAAAGCATTGTTATTTTTCGTAATATTACAAACCAATAATTCCAATAGAATAAAGTGAGGAGAAGTGTTTGCTTTTTCAATATAATCGATATCTTTTGTAGTTGCCGAAGTTAAGCAATAAATGCTAGCGGCATGTTTAAGAGACTGAGCGCGACGTATGTCTCGACGTCGCGATCCAATGCTTATGTCCAGCATTTTTTGCTTTCTTTCGGCAACTACAAAAGATATCGATTTTGTTTAAAAAGTACTGATTTCTCCTCATTTTAATGTATTGTGATTAGTGGTTCATAATTTTACGAATAATACCATTGCTTTAAGTAAAGCGTGGGAATGCGCGTACGCTCGATGTACGTCGCGATCAGCCTGTTACATGCCGCTAGCATTTTTTGCTCTCTTTTGGCAACTACAAAAGGTATCGATTTCGTTTAAAAAGCATTGACTTCTCTTCATTTTAGTGTATTCGAATTAGTGGTTTATAATATTATGAATAATACTATTGTTTTAGGTAAAGCGTGGGAGCGCGCGTACGTCTCGACGTCGCGGTCAAGTGTTTGTATGCCACCAATATTTTTTGCTTTTTTTCGGTAACTACATTAGATATCGGTTTCGTTCAAAAAGCACCGTCTTCTCCTCATTTTAATGTATTGGGGTTAGCTTTTTATAATATTACGAATACCATTTCTTTAGGTGGGAAGCGTGGGAACGCGCGTACGTCTCGATGTACATCGCGATCAGCCTGTTGCATGCCGCTAGCATTGCTTAATTTCGGCAACTACAAAAGATATCGATTTCGTTCAAAAAGCACTGTCTTCTCCACACTTTACTCTATTGGAATTAGTTGTTTATAAGATTACGATGAATACCACTGCTTTAGGTAAAGTATAGAAATGCGCGAATGTTTCGATGTTGCGAACAAGCTCTTACATGCCGCTAGCATTTATTCCTTATTTCTCTACAACCACGAAAGGTATTGATGTTATTTAAAGAGATTACTAGTTTTTCCATAGTTTATGCTACTGGAATTAATGTTTTATAATAATGCGATTAATATCGTTGCGTTATGTAGGACATTAAAGTAGGCGTGCTTTTCAGCGTCGCGGTCAGATTCTCGCATATACACGTACATATGATATTTCGTACGCATATACACGTAAATAAATTTATGACAGTGCGTAAAGAGAAAAGATCATGTGCATGTTGAATGGAATATAAGTTCGTACGCAATGGTCCATGTTCTTAACCACGCAATTATGCGCTTAGCACGGACACGAATCGTCAGGAAATGGGCGTAGAATAGACACGCACCGAATCGCTGCTTTACCGGGATCGTCTGAAAATGGGGAACGTAGTTCCACCTGAAAAATGAGTGCAGATGGCGCATCGCACCAGCGTGAAAATCGGTGTCGCTCAAACATATGGCGTGGCCGCTCTCACGCTTTATGCACAATACCAGGCAACAGGCAATAGGAACAGGGAGTAGGAAATCAGATTGGTTAATTATTTCTATTCCCTGTTCCTATTGGCTAATGTCTATTCCTATTGCCTGTTGCCTGGCATTGTGCATAGGGCTGCAGGCTTCTTTCTGGTATATTAATTATACGTAGTGTCATCCGACAACGTGATACGTGAAGCGTGTAGTACATGATCGTGGCGTGGTAAAGACCCCTGTTGCAGAAATAATGATGGTACATAACAAATTATCAACCGAGATTACACTTCAAAACGTCCTTTTTGAGGAAAATTTTACTTAACACCTACAGTTCACATACGTTACATATACTATAGAGAATATCGAGTAAAATTTCCTCAAAAAGGACGTTTTAGAATGCAATCCGAATTAGCAATCTGCACGCACTGAATGTGAATCGGTAATGCAGGTGACTCTTCGTCCTCTAGGACAGAAATAGAAAAGATTGCAGGTGTATCGAGCCGGTGTTCTCGTGCATTTTTCATGTCGCGACTGGGCTTCGTGAGAGATATAAATAATAAATATGTAAGTGCATAAAAATATAACAACGTAAAAAGGATCGATCGTTCGAATCAAATCGTTATCTTTGAGAAGTTTTTCGAACGATTGGTCTTCAACTAATCTTGTTTCATTCGAATACAAATCATGCGCATAACTTTTGACGCTACTCGCTTTTTCTCAATGGTCGCCGGGAATCTAAAGGCGCGTCACGACGTCTCGATGCACGCCCGTCGTTTGCCGCACGGCAAACGCGAGAGATATGATTCTGAGGTGAGCCTCTAAGTCGATTGACTGTCTTCCCCAGCTCTCTCGTTCCCCGACGGAGACGTGGACGCTACCGGCTGTTACCGATTTCAATGTGAATCGACGGCACGTTTGTTTACCGGGCTCGGAGCAGGTGGCCATAACAAAAACCAAGGTCTTCCTCGCTTTCATCCCGATAAAAGCGTATAACTGTTGTCGTTGAAAAAACAATCACCACGAAACCCAACTCCTACGAAAGAGGATATGAAAATAACAAAATCCACCGTTGTCCTCTTGATCTTTGTGCTGATGCTGTCCATCTTCGTGGCAAATGTAGCCGACCTTATCAATGTCGATTCTCATATGCAGGACGAATCGTTACAAGAGATTTATGGTGAGACCAATGGGTTTAGACCAAAATATTATGACATAGGAAAGTCATATGACCACTTGATGTGGTTCTTACAGGTTTGTTAATATAAATTTGTTCAGGTAGTTAATAGCACAGTAGAATTTTGACATTCTATTATATCATAGAGACGTAATGGCTTTTTGCATCTTTAGATATCGGACATACATATAAGTATCTTTCAAGATCCATCTAGGATATCAGAATTAAAAAAATTCTGCAATGTGACGGTAGATGCAATCAAGCCTGTGGTTGTTCTAGCTTCAGGTAATATCTTGCATATTACCACACATTGATTAAATTATTACAGAATATTTGAAGTGTTTTATCTTTTATACCTTCTCTTTTGTAACAGGAGATTTGACCGATGCCAAAGCTAAAGATAAGATGGGTTCTAAGCAAATACTTGCTGAATGGCAGTATTATAAATATGTGATAGATGAAACCAATATTAGGGAGAAAACATTGTGGTTGGATGTTAGGGGAAACCATGGTAAGAGATTAACACATGTAAATTTGTATACAAGGTAATGCTTAGTAAGAAAATTGTTATAAAATGTTAATAAAATTAATGTTATCTTTCAGATAACTTCAACGTGGTCAGTCTTAGTTCCAAGAACAATTATTATTCCAATTACTCTGTTCAAGGAAAGAAGCATCCGAGATCTTATATATACAATATTGTTGTTGGTTCTGAAACATACTCCTTTATTGCAATTGATGCTTGCTTGAAGCCAGGCCCCAAGAGACCATTTAATTTTGTAGGTGTTTTGGATCAACGTGAGATTAGTAAGATACAACAATTGGTTAATCAGTCCAGAGAAATTAATACAGATTATATAATTTGGTTTGGTCATTATCCTACATCATGCATATTGTCACAATCTGATATTGGTATTAGGAATATTCTAGGTACGATAAATATAGTACACTACAGGCTAATTTTTCCAACTTTTTGGTAAAATAATTTAAATTATATGTCTGTCTTTGTCTAATTTGAAGGAAAAATAAAGACAAACATATGACTTGTAGTTAATTTATCCAGAGGCTGGAAAAATCAGTCCTATATCTCCTGATAATCGAGTAAATATATAAATAATCCTAAATTGATTATATATTAAAAGGCAGACATAAAGAAAGCATGGTGTATCTATGTGGTCATTACCACACACTCGGTGGTATGGTACCAAATATGTATACGTTGCAACAAGCGGGCTTCCTTGAGCTAGAACTGGCAGATTGGAAAGACAATAGAATGTAAGACAAATGAAATGAACTTTCGTTGTAAATGCATAATTTCATTTCTGCTGGTTTTATTTTCTAGAATATGCATTGCATTTATGATAGATTAAAATTGCGTGTATATAATTTTGATAATCAATTTATTTGCATAATAATTAAATATCATATAAAATATTAATACCAATAGCTTTGCTTGGTCACACTTGGTCACACGAGTGTTCTTTTAGATATATATTGTTTTTAAAGATAACTACGCTTTTATTCTGCTCTCGACTTATTTCTTATTCAGTTTACTAATGTTAGATACCTACTTGATATACGCATATTATTAGGTACCGTCTCGCGGCAGTAGATCATGGCCAATTTTCATTCATTGATATAAAGCACAATGATTGGCCTGTAGCATTAATCACCAATCCTAAGCACGCGTTATATATGATGCCGCGAAGAGAAAATTTGAAATCCATTATCGCATCCACGCACATCAGGTAAATATATTATTCTAACTGAACGTTTGTACCGTTTATGAAATACGTTCACAAAATAATATGCTTATTACAGAGTGGTGGCGTTTTCCACAGTTCCGTTAAAGTCTGTAGAAATTCAGTTGGGCGACGATGTCTGGCAAACTTGTGATCATGTTAAGGGACCTCTTTACGTATTGCCATGGAACACAACAATGTACAGGAACGGTATTCATCAAATCACAGTTCAGTAAACGTTCCGATTGCTTATTAATTAAAGTGCTATAAGTGTGTATAAAACGAATAAATCCCTATTGTATATTTCAGGTACGCGTGATCGACGAAGAAGGCAGAGAGAAAATCGTATCGCATCCATTTTCTCTCGACGGTTCACGGCTGTCGTTCCGCGTTTTACCCAGACTGGTGCTAATGTTTGACGTCAGTCACATTGTAAGTCAACGCAGATTATCATGATTATATTTACACTTTCATGTATAGCGCGTGTTATAATTTAACATCACTGTTTCACATAGTTTCAGTTCCTATTCTGCACTGTATTGGCATTACTAGTAGTGCCGCTGTGCTTACTTCGCTTTCTTCATATACTCTGCGAAAGTAAATATAGTTTATGAATCTTATCTTGCATCACAATGTGAAGCACATATACTAAGGTTCCTCTTAACACAGATAAGTATATGCATCGACCGCGGCTGCCCATCAGATTCTTTCATTGGTGGTTGAGGAAATTGTGGATATTATCTACTATTGATAGATTGTTCTTTCCGTTGGTACTCTATTCCTTGTATCTGGCTGTCGGTGAGTATTCAAATATATTGGGAAAAGAGTTTCTCATGTAAATTCAGTTTTTGACTGCTAAAGCATTAATTAATCAATCTGCTTTACGCATGTATCGTTTATTAATATGTTTATAGATTCTAAAACTTGCATAATTCAAGTCTGAAGAAATAGACATTAGCCTTTTTTATCCCTAAAACATAAAAATATACTAATATATCTTTAACTATGTGTAATCGTATGATGTGATGTGTGTCGTTTGTAGGTCCTTGGACAGTAGGAGAAGTAATTGAAAACCACATAGGCGTGATCTTCGCGTGGGGTACATTCGTTGGAAATGCGTATCTACCTGGCGCTTTCACCTATGCTTACGGATTTTTTCAATTATTTTCTTTCCACTTGCCGCTTATGTTGATCTTAGCGCATCAAGTTGATCGTAGGTGCGTGATATTTGCAATAACATAGTCATATTCGCATTCAGTCGTCGAAGAAAAAAAGAAACGTTAATTTAAATCGTTCGTGTTTCAGATTGCAAGACGTGGAGAATTCAGTAAGACAACCGTTGTCGAAATTACGATTAATCTGGCGACACTTGCCGTTCGCGCTGTTAATCGCGATGCAAACCGCGATGGCCTATTTCTTTTGGCTAGCGTACGGCACACTAGCTACGATACTGTGTCCGTTGCGGACTTGGAGCATTCTTTTGGCGGTGATACTATGTTATCGAGTCAACACGATGCCACTCTCGTGCTTGAGGTACGTATTAATATTTGTGTTACGAATATATCTGTACTACGAATGCTGCAATTTATATCTGTTTTTGAAGGTCCGTTGCGTTACTCTGGTCACCTCGTTTAATACAAACAACCGATCTCATGGTGATGCATACTACCAACACTAACAATGCAACTTAATGAAAATAATAGCAGAATAATTGTACAGTCAGAGTGGGATTGTATAATTGGGAATGTTGGTAAGCTAATGTCTAAAAACGATTAACACAATAGATTTACGGGAGAATTGAATTAAATTCTTTTGTAATGTATTTCACACTTCGAGTATATGGGGAGTCGTGAGATTAAGAAGCCAACTGAGATAAGTAGTTCTTAAAAGAAGCAATCAAGTTATATTTTGTACTTTGTATCTCGACGATCTTTCAAATATCGTTTGCATTTCTGTGACGGAGTTTTCCTTCGATATGTGCCACATTATGTTCAACATTACACCAAATTTCGTACATTTCGAAATCTTGATTTATCGATTATAAGTATACTTTGAAAAATGCAATACTCTTCCAAAGTGGTATTACAATGTGATAATTATTATTGATATAATTTCATATTAACAACTGCTACTTTTACTTCCATCTAATGTATCTATAGTCCAGACTCAGGAGTTCCTCTTTAAAGAAATTAATTAATTTTTTTTTTTATAATAAGAAATCTTGAATAAGAGAGCGTTACACATAGAAAGGGAGAGGAATAGAAACAAAGAGAATATTTATGTATTAGAGATGTTGCTATGTATTTATACCTCTGTTACGCTTTATCTCTTTGCTGTGGAGCTAAACTGTTAGAGATATATCGAACGAAGAATGTGATATTTTACGATTTAGACGACAGATCTTTGAGAAGCAGAATTGTAACTTTAGTACTCCTGTTCAGAACTTTCAGCTGAATGTCCCGAGCACTTCCCTATAACATATATATTTTTCTATTTCTATATTCAAGATCCGCGCATATTCTTTTCACGATAATAGTTTAAGTACATCCAAAAGATGACATCTCACCGGAGAGTTATTTATATGTTAAATGTTTTTACTGTGACACATCGCAAAGATAGCCAAGCTATGCTATGAATGGCACATAGAATTCGATAGATTGCCCTCTTGTTTGACATGTGTGTTGTATAAAGGGTGCATCAATTTGCTGACAATCATACGAGCCAAATTTGACGCTTTAGAAACAGTAATTGGACTTGAAGCATTTGTGCCACTGTAAAATTTCACATAACCAGCGAAAAAGGATTGGCTATCTTTGAATGTAGAGCGTTAAAAGGAACCCAGTGAAAGTAACATTATTGTATTATTGAAATGCAATTATGTGCTGCGATCAAAACACAATATTATGTACGAATAATGTTTGGTAGATATGTGTAAAACACGACGTAGGTAACAACTATACAAGATTAAAGATCTCTTGAGAGATGTGTGAAGACGTACATGTACTAATAAATGTAAATATGATCAGCAGAAAAGGTATTTGTTCTTTTACTGATATTTTGTTTTCAACGTCCTCGACGGCGAGTGAACCGATTGTAGTAATCGTAAGTGTGAAAATCTATATATTTTATTTGTATATTTTATTATATTTAACTCTATTTTATTTGTATATTTTATTATATTTAACTCTCCGTTAATCGCAATATCGGATACATACACATTCAGGTATTAACGTATCGCCGTTGGTGTACAGTTAAAGTTTTTTATCCATACTAATACTTGGCAATTTGTTCTTCACTGGTTTTTTTATGTATTTTAATAGTAGTTGATCATTAGCCAAATATTAATGAAGGAAAAATTATTTCAAGCAGCAGGGGAAATTAATGTATTTGTGAGATGCATAATATATAATCGCGACCATTGCGTGAAAAATATTGTGATTAACGGAAAGTTAAAATCTTAAATCTAACGTTTTATATAATATTTCAGTATTAATTTCTTGTTACAGCCTGAAATATTAAATAATATCCATTCAAGCAACTATCACTGTTATTCTAGGCAATGGCAGAGGCAGAGGTGAAAAAGGAGAAAGAGAAAGAGGCAGAAATTAGGGAAGAGGAAGAGACAGCGGTGAAGGGAGAGGAAGAGGAAGAGGAGGACGCGTCGCGGGAAAAAGAGCCTATATGGAATAAATATTTATTATTATTACTCAAAATAAATAAAAAAAAAATACCCAGATAGCCAAACCTGCGCGAACAGAAGTAGGTATTGTAGGCCGGTTCTAATTCAGGTCCTCTGAGGGGGGGGGGAGGTACCGTTGGCGAGGGGTATGACGTCACCGCAGGGGGTATTATCAGCGATCGGTAATTTGGAGGCATACCAATATTATCGACGATCGGTAATTTTTTACCGATATTATATAACATTTAATTACATAATTTTTACCAACATATAATTACACAATACCGATAATACCGACAATCGGTAATTTATTACCGATATTATATACCAACATTTAATTACTTAATTTTTTATCAATATATGTAGCGCCTCCGCCTTCGCGGGTTTCGCGATCTAGGCCGTGTGACGGACAACAGTCGCCATCGCGCGTCGATCGCCGCAAACAGCGACTCCAGCCGCGCGAGTTGTTCGCGACTTCGCCGTGGCGCGACGCGAGTTGATATAGGATCGATCCGAGCATCGTTTATCGCCTTTGTTCTGTTCTCTCTGTACTCTCCGGTGCGGTATAGTCCGTTGTCGTGTCGAGCTGAGCCACGTCGTCAAGTCTTTTGTCTTTGTCCGCGTCCGTCTTTGTGCGCTTCCGTATAAGCCCCCGGGTCTCGCGGGTGCTCTAGTGTCGTGCGCCTTCTGCGGAACGCGACCGCCGAGCGCTCCGCCCTGGACGTGCGTTGTCCAGGTCGCGGTCGTGCCGGCTCGTAACGCCGAGTCACGTGCACGTGCTCACCGCATGCATGCCGTGTGAGCTGACGTTCTCTTGCGCTTCCGCGTAAGCCCCCGGGTCTCGCGGGTGCTCTAGTGTCGTGCGCCTTCTGCGGAACGCGACCGCCGAGCGCTCCGCCCTGGACGTGCGTTGTCCAGGTCGCGGTCGTGCCGGCTCGTAACGCCGAGTCACGTGCACGTGCTCACCGCATGCATGCCGTGTGAGCTGACGTTCTCTTGCGCTTCCGCGTAAGCCCCCGGGTCTCGCGGGTGCTCTAGTGTCGTGCGCCTTCTGCGGAACGCGTCCGTCGAGCGCTCCGCCCTGGACGTGCGTTGTCCAGGTCGCGGCCGAGCCGGCTTGTATCGCCGAGTCACGCGCACGTGCTCACCGCGTGTGTGATTTGTCAGCCGCCATTTGCTTTGTGTTCCGTGCGGGCTTTCTGTGCACGTGCGCACCGCATGTGCGGTGCACAAGCTGCCCTTGTTCGCGTACCGCGCGAGCACACCGGCGTTTAGTCTGCGTTAATTAGCATAAGCTAGAATAATTATCGCGTGTACGAGTGAGCGGTCGCCCATGGTGTCGCGTGACCTAGTCGGGATTGGCCCAAGTGCCAAGCGCGTATTATTGTTTGTATATTTTCCTTTGTGGGGAATGTGAGGAAATAAATTGTTGTCGTTACACATTTTTCTTCTTGCTGTATCGTGGCAGCTTGCCGACTCCTGTTCCTTCTCTCACGATATTATTTTTCCCCACACATATATTTACATAATTTTTACCAGCATATTTACATAATACTAATGATCGGTAATTATTGATATTATATAATTTTTTCTATCTGCTTTCGATAGATCATTTTATTGATCCGCGGCAGATTTTTTGCGGCGGTTTTTGCGACAGCTCGCGCCGCCCGTGCCGCCCGCTCGCGTATTTCGCGACGTAAATTTTTTAGTCGCAGCTGCAAACTCTAAGAATTTGCAAACGTATTAAATATCATTGCGCGACGACATATTGCAAACGTATGCACTCAACAGTTAGATGCGCAAGAAGAACAATGTGACACATGATATTCTTATTACTAATGAGCACGTACACTGTGTCCCCGCGACAAGATTTTGCAAGCGTTGCGTGTTATGTATCACTCGCTGTGCTCCGTAAAAGACCGGATAACATTTTAAGACTATTTATGGTATATGATGAAATAGGGAAAAAGAAGTAATATAAATAAGCAGCAGATCTTGGGATTACAATTTATATATTTTGAAAGTGTTACATGTACAGATTATTTGTTCAATACTTCATACATAATATCATTCATTGCGCACGCCAATAGCTCGCAATCGATAAGTGAACTAGCGTCAAAGTCCGCCTGTATGAAGTTAGCCCCCCACTTTTCGAATTTATTAATTTTGACAATTGTGCTGATTTGTGCTAGGTTTGTGCTACATTGTGCTCGAATTATAAATTTTTAATACGAAAAATGAGCGAGAAAAATGGAAAAAACCGTTTTTTTTTGGTAGCCCCCCACTTTTTGATTTTCGAAATTTTTTTATTGTGCTAGGTTGTGCTAAGTTGTGCTAACATTGTGCTAAAGTATTATCTTCGAAAAATAATCATGAAAGGAATAAAACGAAAAAAACGATTTTAGGCAGAAAAGAAGAAAAGTAAGATTTATACTCGTATAAGTCAATCAAACGATACATAATTATATATCTGAGTTGCTCTAGGCTAGCACAAGTCAGCACAAGCTTCAGTTTCGCCAGCACAAGAATCGAAAGGGCATTTTACTCTTGACCGCAGCCCTTCGCGCTCGCAGTCTATGTCATTAATCACGACTTCTAGACTTTGGATCGACTCAGAATTGCATATCTGAGTTGTGCTAGCCTAGCACAAGTCAGCACAAGTTTCAGTTTCGCCAGCGCAAGAATCTAAAGGGCACTTTACTCTTGACCGCGGCCCTTTGCGCTCGTAGCCTATGTTATTAATCACGACTTCTAGACTTTGGATCGACTCAGAATTGCATATTTGAGTTGTGCTAGCCTAGTACAAGTCAGCATAAGTTTTAGTTTCGCCAACACAAAAATATTAAAGGTATTTTATTCTTGATTTTCGCAACCTTTCGCACGCGCAACTTGATTGATCAGGATAATATTAAATTACACGGAAGTAAGGAAGATATCTCTCTTTGTTGTGCATTTGTTTTCTGCACGTATGGCGTTCCACCGCGTCAAGGTGGAGATTATCGGAATGGTGTTTTTGTATTTTTTTGTTTTTTGTATTTTTCGTTTTTTTATTTTTTTTGTTTTTTTCTTATATTCTAAAATTTTTGTCGTTTTCGTTTTAATATTTTTTATTTTATATTACTGTAAAATCATCTGCTTTATGTTAAAATTACTGTTTTATTTATTAGTACATAAGCATTAGTTCTTGCTAGTTATTAAATTTTCACTATACCATATAATAATATAATGTAATGAAAATCAAGAGTAAAGAGTAAAGTGCCCTTTAGATTCTTGTGCTGGCGAAACTGAAACTTGTGCTGACTTGTGCTAGGCTAGCACAACTCAGATATGCAATTCTTTTTTTTTTTTTTTTTAAGGCAGAGGAAATGCGTTACGCACACCCCCGGGAAATACGGGACTTTCCCAATGGTAGTGTGGGACTCTCCCCCTCCGGAAATAACCACCGGTGGGGGCCTACCCACTAAAATGGGGCCTCTGCCGGGGGCCTCTGCGGGGCCCCATGTGGCCATAGTGAGGGCGTCCCGGGAACCGCTTGCGCATAACTTCCAGGACGCCCTCGGCCGCAGGGCGGGGTAGAACTTACTCCCGCCCCCTTCCCGGGTCGGTGAGGAAGGATCCGCCCGACCCGTTTCGCCATCTCAGTGACCGGACGTGGGCCCCCCCGTCCGACCATACCTTTCTTGTTGGGGCGCTGTTGGTCGGGCCCGGTCCCGTCCGGACCTGGTCCGCCCCAACGCTCCCTCCGTTGATCAGGAGGACCCGGCGGTATTGGGGAGGGGGGGGGGCGGCGCAGCCGCGGGTACCCCGGGGGAAGGAATGTTAGCTATGGCATCCCTTCCCCGCTCACGGGTGCGCCGCTCTTCGATTCCGCGCTGGTGCGCGGGTAAGTGAGGCACCGCCCTCCTACGTCGGCGCCTCACTCCGTCCCCAGGGGCTATTTTGCCCCTACGGACCCTCTCGTCCACCTCCTTCTGCGACACAACTGTGTCGCAGAAGGAGGTGACGGCGGACCACCCTCATCTCCCCCAAGCATGGCCCTGATAAGGGCCAGGGGAGAGAGGTCCGCTCCCACCACATCGACTAGGACTCGGCGCTCCGCCACCCACGAGGGGCATTCCTCGAGGGTGTGCTGCGCCGAGTCCACCTCAGCACCGCAGTGGTGGCAGCGGGAGTTAAGCACCCTACCTATCCTATGCAGGTACTCACCGAAGCATCCGTGTCCGGTGAGTACCTGCGTCGTCCAGAATGACAGCTCTCCACGGGCCCTGTCTACCTACTCTTGTAGACAGGGCCGGATGGCCTCTGCGACCCTCGTACCCGACCGGCCCGTCGCTCCCCCAGGTGGAGGTTCCACCTGAGGAGGAGGCGTTGACGGGCCTGGTCTTTCGCCAATCCTATGGCCCTGGCCAGATGTTGTTGGTCTTCCCCGGCACGGAGCTCCTTAACACGCCGATAATTTTCGGCATGCATCTCCACAAGGAGCTCCAGCCGGGGAGACCGGCCAGGGCCGTGGCGGCCATATGTGACGTCGTCCTATAGGCCCGGGCGAGGCGAATGGCGACCCATCGCTGAGCGCGGTGAGCCAGCGCTATAGTGCGCTGGTTGGTCGCCACCGCGCTCGCCCAGACCGGGGCCCCGTAAAGGGCCATAGAGTGGACGACGCCAGCATACAGCCGCCGTGCCCTCCTTTTTGGGCCGCCGAGATTGGGCAGGAGGCCACCCAACATATTGGCCACCCTGCCCAATTTGGGGGCCAGAAGCTCAAAATGCTTCTAAAACCCCCATGTGCCATCCAGGACGAGTCCCAGGTATTTGATCGTGGGACCCGCCCTCACGGAGACACCGTCAATCCGGATTCGGGCCCTTGGCGGCCCCCCCTTGGAGCCGTCATGCATGAACATGATCTCCGACTTGAGGGGAGCCACCTTCAGGCCCATCCTGCTTAGGAAGCTTACCACCTGGTCCACCGCCAGACGTCCCATCTCTAGGGCGTCCCACCAGCCCCTGCCTCCGGCTAACACCATCGTGTCGTCCGCGTAGCAGACGACAGTGCAGCCGGGGGGGAGGGCAAGACGGAGGACTTGATCGTATGCGATGTTCCACAGTAGAGGTCCCAGCACGGACCACTGCGGAACACCGCGATACATCGCCCTTCCGCACTGGAGTTCCGCTTTGTTGCGAAACTCCAGTCTTCTATCTTGGAAGTAGTCCCTTATTATTGAGACCAGGTGGGAGGCGACCCTGAAATGGGCCACACCCGCCTCTACCTGGTCCCAAGGGAGGGAGTTGAAAGCGTTGGCGATGTCGAGAGACACCGCCAACACAACTCCCCCCCCTCTCACGACGGCCTCCGAGAGGGACCAAATGCGCATAATCGCGTCCACGCTAGACCGTCCCTCCCGGAAGCCGTATTGCTCGGTGTTGAGCGTTGGACTACTCCGGGATAGGTGCCGGACGAGGCGGGCGTGTATTATTCTTTCGAATAGTTTGCCCGCCTCGTCCAATAGGCATATTGGCCTATAAGCGGAAGGGCAGTCCTCCGCCTTGCCCCCCTTCCTGAAGAGGACCAAGTTGGCCCTCTTCCAGGGGCTGGGGAACACCCCGACCCTCAAGCAGGAGGTAAAGAGTAGCATAATGCTCTTCACTTCCCCACCCATTCCTCATTGCCAAGGCCCATATTATGCCTGGGATGCCGTCAGGTCCCGGCGTCCTTTTCTTGGTGCCGAGTTTCCTGACGGCCATGTCCATCTCCACCATAGTGACCCCGACTCCCTTATCCTCCCCGTCTAGGGGGGCCCTCATAGGGGGGAACGCAGGTTTCCCCCCACGGAAATAGGGCCCCTACAACCCTGTCAAGGAAATCGGGGTCCAGGGACGCCGTCGGTGAGGGCGCCCAGTTGCGCAAGCGCCTCATCACGGTATGATAAGGGCGCCCCCATGGGTCCTTGTCTATGGTGGAGAGCAAGTCGTCCCAGGCACGGGCCTTGGCCGCAGCGATGGCCGCCTTGAGGGCGTCCCGCTTTTCGCCCCCGCGGTAAGCCCCCTCGGCGGCCACCCTGCCCTCTTCATCTCGTCCCCGCCGGTCCATCGCTCTCCTGGCCTGGCCGGCGGAGCGCCGAAGTTCGCAATCTCCGCCGACCACCAGTACACGAACCGGCGGGGGTGTGACCGGGATCGGGGCATGGCGGCATCGCACGCCGCCGTCATCATGTCCCGAATCCCGGCCACCTCGTCCTCAATGGCGGGCCGGGTTCTCGGAGTGGGACCCGGCTCCGCCCAAGTGGCCGCCATCAGGACGGCCGCCAGCTTGTCGCGGTCGAGCTTGCGGAGAGCCCATCTCTGTGGTCGGGCACCCCCCTGGCCACGCCTCCGGAGCACCTCCTCCGGAGTGGCAACCAGCCGAACCACAATATACCTATGATCCGAGAGATTTTCTCCGCTGGTCACCATCCTCCAATCCTGTATGAGTCGGGCCGCCTGGGGAGACGCAAAGGTGACGTCTATCACCGATCTCCCCCGCGGCCCGACGAAGGTGCTCCTTCGGCCTCTGTTCATAGTGCAGAGGCCATCGGACGCGACCCATTCCTTTAACACCCCGCCCCTTCGACACCTGACCGAGGATCCCCACAGCGCCGATTTGACATTGAGGTCTCCGGCCACTAGGACCGGCCTTTGGGGACGCCTCGAGATGAGGTTCCCTAGCCGGCCCAAAAGGTGCTCGAAGCGAGCGAGGTTCCACGAGGGTGGGGCATAAACCCCGACCACGTCTAGGGCCCCCCACTCGACCGCGACATAACCTCCCCTTTTTTCCACGAAAAAGATCGGGGGAGAGGCATCTCCTTCCTGCCAAAATATCGCTACCGAGCACTTACCACCCTGCCCCGCAACGTCACCAATTATGGTGGGGTGACTCCCGAGGACGAGATGCGGCTCGGCGGCGATTCCTAGCCCACAACCGCGCTCGCGGAAAAACTGCATCAAAAGCTCCTGAGCTCCGCGAGCGCGGTTAAGATTTGCCTGGAGGAGACGGGTAGTCATTATGGCTTAGTTCCGCGTTCCTCCAGGCCTTCCCCTAACTTCTTCGCGGGAGAGGGGCCCTCACCTGGGTTATCCCTCTCCCGCGACCCCGCTCTCTTGCTGGCTCCGGCTGCCCGCGAAACCCTCTGCTCTTTGGGGGCAGGATCCGCTGGAGAGACCGGGGTCGCGTGTTTTGGAGCCTTCCCCTCCGATGTCGGGGGGGGAGGCTCCTGATCTTTCCCTGGGAGGGGTATTGGAGGCTTTACGTCTCCTCCTCCTACTCCGTCCCCCTTTGCCCCGCTTAGCCATTTGGCAAGCAGGGCCTCCAACTCTATGACCACAGGGCCGCCCGGCGTCGCGGCACACCGGACATGACGCCGATGCGTCGCACGCCGCGGCCCTGTGGCCGGCCGAACCGCAGTGGTAGCAGAGACCACTGCGGTCGGCCTTACTCCTGCAGGAGGCCCTGACGTGGCCCCACTCAAAGCATTTGTAGCATTGGAGAGGGCGGCTGCTCAGGGCCTCCACGCGGACAGAGGACCAACCAACGCGTATGCGTCCTCCGTCCGCAATCTTCTTAGTGACCGCAAGGGGACACCTCAACCAGAGGGACCCATGCGGTCGGGTCCAGAGCGGATTTCCCCTCTATTTCACCGGGCCTGCAGCCCCCGGCGACCGCCACCGCGGAGACTACATCCTCCACGGTGGCCGCATCGTCCAGGTCGCGGACCCGGATGTCGGCTCTCTTCGCGGGACGCGCTATGCGTACGTCCCCTTTGTCAGCGAAGAGGGCCGCCATTCTGTTGGCTAGGGCATCCGCCCTGGCGTGTCCTTCGGGACCGGAGATCCCGAGGACCAGGGCGCCAGTGACGGCCCTCCTGGTCCCGAGGTCCCCGATCCCCAGCTCTCCCAAATCAATTTGGCTCCTCGCCCGCCGCATCACATCGGCGAAGCTGCTGGCGGAGCAGCTCACCGTGATCGCGACGGCGCGAGGAGCCTTGGGGAGGACGGGTCTTTTCCCGCCTTTCATGGCGTTGGGGATCTTCTTCCCTTTACCGTCTCCCTTAGCCGCGGCATCTTGTTTGGGGAGCGGGTTGGGAGGTCTGCTTAGACCTCCCTTCTCCCTGTTTTTCTCTCCTCCCCACTACCCGGGTCCAGGATTTGGACCCGGTCTCGGAGGGAGGAGAGCGATCGTGGGCCCCCGAGGACCGCGATGTCGCAGTCCTCTTCTGAAGGGAGGCCCATTTCCTCCGCAAGAGCAGCGGGAGGCAGCCATGTCCTTCGGAGGCTGCCGCTCATTCCCGCCGCTCTTCTTCTTTTTCTTCCCTGGTTTCCTCCCCACCCCATCATTGGAGGCGGAGGTCGCCGGGGATCGAGGCGGGTTTGGAGGGGCATTATGCACCCCACCCCCCGTAGTCGCCCCACTCCTCCCTTTTTGAGAGGCTTTCTGGGGCCGTGCGGGTCGCCCCCCGGACATCTCGGGGAGTTCGGCCCGCAGGGCCTCAACTTTGGCCGCCACCAAGGCCTCTAGTTCCCCGCTAGACGGCACGGAGGCCCGCCCTTTATCCGGGCAAGTCCTCCGCTCGTCTCTCGGCCGCGTTTGCGGAGGCGTCTCCCCACTGGCCGTCGCTGCGGCATTCTTCTTCCGGCTGTTTGAGGCCGGGTTATTACCTCCGCCGGTGCTGCGCGCCTTTAGAGGAGGGGCGTTTCCCGGGGGGAGTGTCCCCTCCGTTACGTCCTGCGCTACCTCCTCCCGACATCGTCTCCCGACTTCCGCCTCCTCGGAAGCCGGGAGTAGGGCCCTGATGGGCCCGGCGGCCCCCTCCATTATCATTTCCTCCTCGCTGGAGGTGGACGGGAGCCGCTGGGATGCCCTTTTCTTATTGCCGATGGGAGAGGGCGGGGAGTCTTCATCCTGAGATCCCGCCCTCTTCCTTTTACGGTCCGCGGAGGAGTCCTGACTATTGGGACCCTCCCGCGGCCGAGTCCCTAGGCTGTCGCCTTCTTTCCCATCCACTTCCATGGGAGAGGGGGCCTCATCCCGCAGGTTGCTGGAGGGGCCGGATCTGCGGGCCTCCTCCAGTTTCTTCTTGAGGCTGGCGACTTGTAGGCGGAGCAGCGCGCCCTCCGTCTTTAGGTGTTCGCGCCCCTCCGTGTCCGCCGCCGCCTCCCGTCTTGCAGCCTCGCCCGTGCCGGACCTGTCGGCGTTAGTGGCCCTCTGCACCAGGGCGAGGCTGCACGCGGTCATCCTGGCCGCCGCGCTCCATAGGGCCCCACGGTAGGCCCCCTGAAGGTTACGGGACCTCTCCGCGACCTTTTTTACCTCGCCCACGGCCCTGAGCGCCATGGACGAGATCTCGGGCGTGGGTTGCGCCCGGAGGCCGCGGAGGATCCCAGTCTCCTCTTCCGCCACCCGGAGGGCTCTCGGGGTCGACGGCTTGACGGAGGGATCTGTGATCTCCTCCGCCAGCATCTCATTTCCCTCCTCTTCCCCGAGTCTGTCGCTCAGGACGACCAGCATGCTGACCCCATTCTTGGACTCTCAAAGGGAGCGGCGCGGTCTAGGTATGCCTCGAGCATCCCCCGCTGCTCTTATTAGCCAACCCCATCTCCTCGTGGTGAGAGTCGGGCAACGTCTGGACGCCGCGACGTCCAGACGGCCGACGGGGCCCTGGCTATCCGTGCGCCCCAAAGGGCGGACTCTTCCCTCCGCCCACGTGCCCAGTCCATGGTGAGACGTGGGGCCAAGAAAGGACGGGTTTTCCCAGCGGTAACGGGAACGGTGGCGCTCCCCGCGAACCCCGGTGTCCGGAGGACTCGAGCGGTATGAAATCCGCAAAGACAGTCCACACTGTCCGTGCACTGGGGCGAGTAGGAGTGCCTCCCGGCCGTGCCGCTTCCTTCTCTCCCCAGCGGGAGCGGGACAGGGCGACGCCTCGGTAGGACCGGTATCTGAGCGGCTCGAGCGGTACGAAACCGTGCAGACAGCCTAATTGGGCCGGGTACTGGGACCGGAAAAGGTGTCGCCCAGCCGCGTTGCTACCCTTCCCCCTCTTTCTTCTTTCTCTACACCTCGCGGAGAGGTATCCCTCATTTGAGCAGTCCATCACCCTCAGTCTCCCCCTGCCGCATCGATGATGTGGGGAGGAGGCAGGGGCTGCCTCGCAGCCTACTGGGTCCTGCGTTTCTCCGCTTCGGCGGCAGGGTCGACGGAACCGGGGGCTCCCTTATTTTCAGGTGCAGGAGATCTACACAGCATTGCCGCGAGCACATAATTGGCTCGGCGCCGCGGCCGTCGGCCCTGGACGGGACGTCATGGCGCTAGCGGCATAGAACCCACACCACCTACTTCCCTTCTCCTTTTCCCCAACCCAAGGTGGCCCTTCGCCCCGCCTCGCTGCATCCTTGATGCAGGGTGGGGGGGGCATGGGCTGCCGTAACATCCTACCGGGCCCTGCGTTCCTCCGCTTTCGCGGAAGGGGCGACGGAACCGGGGGTATTTTTCTCTTTCAGGTGCAGCATAAAACACAGCATTGCCGCGAGCACATAATTGGCTCGGCGCCGCGGCCGTCGAACCTGGGCGGGACCGCCATGGCGCTAGCGGCGC